TCATGCATTTTGAAGGAGTATAGACGCTGCTACAGAAAGAGCCTATTAGCCAGAGACTTAGTCAGGTAGAGTACCTCGAGTTTGGCCCAAAGTGCTTAAGCTGTTGTCTCCCTCGACACCTCCCTCAGAACTTTGTCGCCCAAGCTCAGGATTATCAAACTGTGGGCCTTGTCCAGTATGTTGATCTTCTCCTTCTCGGTCATGTCGGCCGACAATGTCGCCGACCCTTGCAAGGCTTCTGCAACACCCTGCCGAACCAATAGAGCTCTCATCTTTACTCTCCATAGGCCGAAGTCGTTCTTCCCGTTGAATTTCTCAATGTCGAATTTGACAGAACTCATTGTCGTGGCTAAGATTTCTTCCAATGAATTCTACATGCTGCCCTTCTAAGAACTAGACTGAAATCACCAAAATGGTGTACTATTGTATAGCAACCAAAAGTTTTCAGCCTAAACCTGCTTTTTAACGCCTTGTTGTTCAAGAAATTCTCACCAAATTTCTTACCTTCTCCCCGTGAACTCCACTGCCTTTGTCAACCAAACGGAGAGCTCTGATCCCTTATGGCAGAGATCACACCTGTTCACCGGAGAAAACTTCCCATTTTGTGCTCGCGTCTCCTTCCTGCAGGCACTCCTTTTTTTGTCAGGTAGAGTACCTCGAGTTTGGCCCAAAGTCCTTGAGTCGTTCTCCCTCGACGCCTCCCTCAGAAATTTGTCGCCCAAGCTCAGGATTATCAAACTGTGGGTCTTGTCCAGTATGCCGATCTTCTCCACAGTCATGTCGGTGGCCGGCAATGTCGCCGTCCCTTGCAAGGCTTCTGCACCAACCTGTTGAACCAATAGAGCTCTACTCCTCCATAGGCCGAAGTCGTTCTTCCCGTTGAATTTCTCAATGTCGAATTTGACAGAACTCATTGTCGTGGCTAAGATTTCTTCCAATGAATTCTACATGCTGCCCTTCTAAGAACTAGACTGAAATCACCAAAGTGGTGTACTATTGTATAGCAACCAAAAGTTTTCAGCCTAAACCTGCTTTTTAACGCCTTGTTGTTCAAGAAATTCTCACCAAATTTCTTACCTTCTCCCCGTGAACTCCACTGCCTTTGTCAACCAAACGGAGAGCTCTGATCCCTTATGGCAGAGATCACACCTGTTCACCGGAGAAAACTTCCCATTTTGTGCTCGCGTCTCCTTCCTGCAGGCACTCCTTTTCGTCCAGCGGAACAAATTAGGAATTCCTCCTCTGCCTCTCGCACGAAAATAACTGCCTCTCCAGAGCCGTCGCGGCCGCGCCGCGCCAAACTGCTCAGGTCCTCCTGCTTCGCGAACTCCTGAACAGGGAACTCTTTACACCCTCTCTGCGGTGATCTCCACCTCTTCCCTCTAACCGAGCTGCTCGCAAGACCGAACTCTTGCTCCGAAATCCTCTGCTGGCAGCCCTGTCGCAAATTTTCGGCCCTCGCTCACGGACTGTTCCTCCTCCGTCTTGCCGAACCGCACAACCTGCGGTGCGAATCCAGTCGATCAAAGCTTCCACTGCTCAGCAAATCTGTCGCTATTCGGCTGCCTGTAACACGATCCGCTTGCTCCTCTGTTCGTGAATGACGAACTCCTCTTCTTCGTTGCTGACCGCGAACACCTTTACGCGGACACCTCTAGCCAAGAAGTATGAATCTTCCCACAGACGACGCCAATTGTTGTGAGATATATACTTCCTGGCATAGAAGTTAGACGCAAAGAACACAAGCAAAAACAGATCGTTTACGTGGTTTGATCCAGCTGGATCTACGTCAACGGGAGGGAATCAATCAAATAGTTCACTAAAACAAAAGAAATGGAGAATACATAGCTTATACATAGAGATGAGCCATCATCTTTCTTCTATGGTCTCCCTCTCAAGCGACACCTTGATACAAGGTCTCGAGAGGCTCTCATTCTCTCTAGCTCTTTAGCTATTCTCTCCTCCCTTGTGGTAGCTTAAGATCTCTTCCCTTGTTCTCCTAAGTCTCACACCCTCTCTATTTATAGAAGCAAGAGAGGGGTAGGTGGGAGGTAAGTGAGTAGTAGGTGAGCGGTAGGTGAGATGTGGCAGGTGAGCGATATCACATTACAAAAGTTCCCTTTTACCTTAGTTCAATAATTGGGGGTCAAAATAACAATGAGCAAATCAAATATTAAATAATGGGAACATTGTTGTTCTTGATGGTAAGATAAGTCTCTTAACCCTTAAATGCTTTCCTAAAGGAAGCTATATTTCTAGGATTTGTAGCTTCTATCAATGATTTCAATTTGGTCCTAGAAAAAAGCAATTCTTAATTAGCCAACATTGAAGGGATTTTTTGTCCAAAATTTTCAAGAATTGACAGCATTTTATGGAATTTTCTTAAAAAATCTGCCCCATTATGGCACATGCTACTGATATTTTTTTAAAAAATAGAAGATATATTTTCTTGGGCCTCTGATGCAGACAAAATTTTTTCATAAATTAAAATGTTTTTTGGCATCTTAAATAATTTTGAGACGATTAGATTTTTTTTTTAAGTTTTAAAATCACTTGTGATTTATTTAGTGTAGGAATATAAGGTGCCATTAGCAAAGAAAATCTTCTGTAAGTTTCTTCAATGGGAAATTAGATGATGCAAACAACAATAATGTACTTGTGATTGATACTTTTATACCTTTATTTATTGTTTGAAACATTGGAGAGATTACTTGCATGGTTGCTTTATAAGCATTTATTTTGCATTAAAATTACCATGTTTTTAAATTTATCAATACTTGAAAGAAATGTATATCATACATTTACAATGGATAAAACTTCTACAAGACTTTGTACGTATTCAAACACAAGCCAATGATTGAAAACATACCTGCAACTCCCTTGTCTAGCGTTACATTAGTGATCTCTTTATAGAATTCCAAATTCATATTTTTATTGAATAATAATAAAAAAAAGCTTATTTATTATGTCCGAACTTGCATCCCTTGTAACTGGAGCATCATCATAAATCCATCTCTTTAACATGCATGTTTGTAGTAATCGGTGGTTATCTTTATTGTGGTGAACAACTTTGCATCCCTTAGATGGATTGTTATATATTTTGAAAAGATAAAATTATTCATTTGATGGAAGACAATATTTGCTTGCTCTAGCTTAACAATGATATCCAGAAAGTAGTTTCCCATTGTTATAGCTTGTAGAGTAGCCTAGACTACGAAATAGCGTTCTTAATAATACACTGCTGTTCGTAGGCCCTATAGTCCTTGGGAAGACCATTCTTTGAATCTTTTTGGACGTGATATTACTTCTTCCTTTGGTGATGTATTTTTTAGGACCTTTCCTTGAATTTTTGGGACATCATAGTACTTCTTCCTTTGGTGATGTATTTTTTCCTTAAGATAGCTCGCTTCTTACTTCAAGATTAATGATGCTTTACATGTTGCCAAACTATTAATGATGCTTTACTTTACTATTTAAAATATATTTTGCTCATAGAGAGATTATAAATCCTTGGGACTTGTAAATTTATTCTTTTGCAGGAGGCCAAGCACATCAATTGTAGGTGCGTCTCCATCCAAACTTCTTCTAAGTTGAATGTATCATTTCAAATGAAGCTCCATCTCTATTGATTCCTTCACAAGCACTATCTCTATTATTGTAAGACAAAACTGATGAGGAATTGAAAATGCATTAGATTTACTAATTCCTAGATTTAAAATTGTTTTCTTTTCTTTTGTTTTTTGTCTAGCAAGATTTAAATTAAATCCTATTTAAATCCGATAACATATAGCCCCCTAAGAGTTATTTATATGTATTTCTTCTTTGTAGCTTTATGTATACAAGTACCTTGTAATCTTAATCAAAATTCGATATATTAATTTATTTGTATACCAAAAATTAGCTTTTGTGAGCCGAAGTAGGCATGTAAAAGGCCTCATGGGCCTGATAAGCCCATGTATTCAAAAAGATTTAGCCATCACTGAAATAATCTATTGAGGTAACCTGCTGACCTCATTCATTGATCCGATGTACTAACTGCCGAGCTAACCTGTCAAATTGGCTCATCAAACTACTTTCTTGAGCTCATCTGGCGGATTAATCAATTAACTTGTTTGGCTGAGTTCACATTGTCGGTGATCCTCATAATTGCAGGACACAAAAGTCAAGGCTGAGATCTAAAATAGACATGCAACATCTTCATTTATACGCCGCCTGACATCCGCATAGTGCCCTTTTCATCAGAGCACTATGGACAAACTTTAGATATTAAGAGTCATTTTTATGATTTTTCATCTATAAATAGTGAAGAGAGAGATTTGAGTGCAGGGGAGTTCTTGCTTCTTTCTCGCTCGCTGGATCATCTTCTCCACTCTGTCGAAGAAGGATCTTCAAGAAAACACTTGATTTAAGCATAGAGAACACATCCATTCTCCATTCACCTTCCTTAGAGGTCCCTCCCAGGTTGTGTAAACCCATAAATAATATGAAACCGTATGTCCTAAAAGGATTCAACATTATTGAACTATTACTTGCATTAATAACAAAATGAACAAAACAAACATAAATAAGTGAATTGTTACCTGCATAATTGAGGTGATCATCTCAGTGGTTTCCTCTTTCAAAAATTATTTTTGTTCTCCGGAAGGTTGAGCCTAGAAGGCAATATGTGCTATTCCAACCATTCGAACGTGGGAAACTAAACCCCTTAATCACTATATCGCGAGTAAGTGCACTTTTAAAATTCTCATGTGAGCTTTTTTTCTTACCCACCATTAAAGTTTCCCTGCATTCACTTTTGTAACAGCTTTCTTTTGAATTTTTTGTCTTGATAATCTAAAAAATTACAGCTCCTTCTCGAGATATTTACAGTTCACTACAGCTTCAATAATTATTTTACATTTTTTATTGTTTCAGCCTTTTACCTGCGCGGAGATGGTGAAAGGTGCCGTCGGCGAAGGCGCCAACTCTGCTTTTAACATTACAAGTCTTATTCTTTTATGGAAGATGAGGATCGGCACAGAACAACAGAATGTTTTTTTACGTTTGTGAGGGGATGTTCCATGACGCCTTCTACACTGTTCATCTCTGAGTAATCCCCATACTTTGTTGTTTTTAAAGCATCTGAAGCGTACTGCTGCAGCCATTCCTGTGGTCCAAGAATTTATGTGGACTCAGCTGAACTCATTTTATGCCAGAAGACGATGCTGCTTCTGTAGCATGATACCAACAGGACTTTCTGGTGAGAAAATTGGGGGAGCACAGAATGGATTTGTAAGTGTCTTTTTTTAATCATTTTTGTTTGTTGTTTTGTGTTGGATTATTATGGTGTGCGACATGAGGTGAGGTGTTTTGTTATGATTGTAATTAGTAAAGCTGAGGAGAAAATAGTTTAATTTAAAATTCAAATTATTCATAATTCATGTTGCTGGTAAAGGTGATCATACTAACTATTACTATGGCTCAGATTGACACAGCTTGTTTTACTTTTGTTTTTTTATTGATTTTTTTTTTAAGAAAAATTTTGTGATGAGTAATTTTTATGATCATATTGGCTATACTATGTGTAGATCGAGAACGTGACAGAAAAGTAGGCCTAATGAGGACCCATTGTGTTATGGTATGGCTCATATATCATATAGGGATAGATGTACGTGACAGAAAAGTAGGCCTAATGAGGACCCATTGAAAGGAGGCCACTTGATTAGATACAACCCCCAGAATCAAGATCAGAGGCAGAACAGATGTAGAATAAGGCTAACTAAGCTGAGCAGAGGGGCCACAACTCAACTCAAGGGAAGAGTTCAATATCATCAGCAGTCTCATGGAAGCCGATTAGATGTCTTATTAAGGCCAAAACTTGACAATAACATAGCCCACAAACATCTTGAATGACCCATGCGTCAATAAATGAGCCCTTTATCAGAGTACGATAACCTAGTCTCGTTCCGTCGATAGATTTTCCTCGTGCAAAGATTAATAGTCGACATTCGGACTAGAACAATCGATTGATGAAGTCAAGTAGATCAAGCTAGTCTTGATGATTTGAAGACCATCAAAAGCCGACCGATAAATTCAATTCAACACAGTCAAACAAGCAGGTCTTGTAGGACCTAGATCCATTGATTTCAGCCAACCAAGTCGGGGAGTAGCTGAGTCATAGTCCCATATAAAAAAAAAATCTAAAATATTACAAACGCTCCCATTAAATCACGTGCGGACATCTAACTTCACATATAGTGTCTCATTCTGTATAAATAGAGGAATCATTTTAGGAGAAATGAATAATCGATAAGACCGAGTCAGTTTTATGATTTATCTCTTTTGTGTGATTCACATACAAATCAAGATTCAACATTGATAGTTATCAAAATATATTATTTATATTTTGTTTTGAGAAAAAAAAATTTAAATACATACAATAGTTTTCACATAATGCTGAGTTTTGTTCGTAATTTTTACGATGAAAAGTGACTTTTTTTACAAAAAATCATAATTGACTATAATCAGGCAGTATAAAAGGATAAATATTACACAAATTATTTTGGGTCATTTACATACATGCCACTCAATTCATATGTATTTATTTATCTACACCTAAATATTAATTTTTATAATTATATTATCTGAAATTTTCATACATCTAAAATATCATTATTTATTTATTTTTTTAAATGAAATATAATTTTTCATGCATGAATTACTGTTTTTCTTCGCCCTAATTTTCTCAACACATTGAAAGGAGGTCACTTGATTAGATACAACCCCCTGAATCAAGATCAGAGGTAGAATAGATGTAGACTAAGGCTAACTAAGCTGAGCAGAGGCGCCACAACTCAAGGGAAGAGTTCAATATCATCAGCAGTCTCATGGAAGCCGATTAGATGCCTTATTAAGGCCAAAAATTGACAATAACATAACCCACGACATCTTGAATGACTCATTCGTCAATAAATGAGCCCTTTATTGGAATACGATAGCCTAGTCTTGTTCTGTCGGTAGATGTTCACTAGAACAATGAGCCCTTTATTGGAATACGATAGCCTAGTCTTGTTCTGTCGATAGATGTTCCTCGTGCAGAGATTAATAGTCGACATTCAGACTAGAACAACCGATCGATGAAGTCAAGTAGATCAAGCTAGTCTTGATGATGTGAAGACTATCAAAAGTTGACCGATAAACTCAATTCAACACAGTCAGACAAGCAAGTCTTGTAGGACCTAGATCCATTGATTTCAGCCAACCAAGTCGGGGAGTAGCTGAGTCATAGTCCCATATAAAAAAAATCTAAAATATTGCAAACGCTCCCATTAAATCACATGCAAACATCTAACTTCACACATTGTGTCTCATTTTGTATAAATAGTTGAATTATTTTAGGAGAAATGACTAATCGATAAGATCGAGTCAGTTTTATGATTTATCTCTTTTGTGTGATTCACATACAAATCAAGATTCAACATTGATAGTTATCAAAATATATTATTTATATTTTGTTTTGATGGCTGTCCCACATTGAAGCAGCCAAGGCGACGTGTTGGTGGGGCCCCACAAAATGGAAAGGCCTTCCCGTGCGGTGGCCCCGGTCGGTGGTTGGATGTTTCATGGATTTAACGAGTCATATCGAATTTGAGCTCTCCTTTGTGTGTATGGGTTTAGTTTGAGGAGGCCATTGAAATGAATGTTAACATATAAAAAAATAGGTATTTAAACATGATTTAATAATTAAATTATAAATTAAATGGTAACATTTATATACATACCACTCAACTTTTATGTATTTATATATGTTATACCTAAAATTTATTTTTTTCATTTATATAGCTCAAACCTCTTATTTTTACTTTTAACAATTGAAATACACCTTTTCATAGATAGGTAATGTGGTATATATATGTAAAAATTAAATTTTAGGTGTTAGATCTGTGAATACATTTGTATTATTAAATTTTAATTGACTTAACTTGTGAGAAAATGTTTTGCAATTTTCTCTAAAAAAATAAAAATCTCTTTTTTATTTCATAAGCCCTGCTGTGGTGGATGTGGAATGGCCAACATCACAAATTAAAATCCTGAAAAAATAAAAAAGTTATGGCACATACTTGCCACTCGATGCCAATGTATTTACATATCAAACACCTAAATTTCATTTTTTTTACACCTCTCACCCCCAGTCTTCATATCACATTAAAAATATCACTATTTAAACTTTCAGCGAAACACATTTTGTCATGTATGTAAAAGTTGAAGTTAAGGTATTAGATATGAAAATACATATTATATTTCGAGCTTAAAAAGTATGTTTGTGTTCGACTCGTTTGCTTAGCTGCTTAGCGAGCAGCTATTCACGAACAAAGAGTTCTTTTAACAAGGTTGTTCACGAACGTAGAGTCGTTTTGACAACCCTAATAATGTAGCCATAAAAGTTAAGGGTTGTGATAATATTTAAAAATTATTTTTTGTATTAAAACATCTTTTGAATCTTATTTAATAATTTTTATTCTATTTTCTTAATTAATATTTTTAATTGATTATAATTCTTTGTTCCCTTGTAGTCAATTAATTTTTTTTAAAAATACTAC